GAGCCGCTGTCATCCTGTCAGTTTCAGGATGACAGCGGCTCTGTGCGTGGCAGAGCGGGGGATCGGTAAATATCATTGATATTTACCGGTCCTCCATGTGAGAAGGACAAACACTGGAGCGATCGTCTGATCACTCCAGTGTTTGTAAATAACTGGGGACACATAATACTATGTGACCCCAGTTATGAATGAACAGGCTGTGATTTACATCACAGTCTGTTCATTCAAGATTTCCTCAATGGGGAGAAGCACTCAGCACAGAGGCTCCTCCCCATTCTGAAACAGCTGACAGTAAATATTTGAATGGGAAGCCTCTGTACTGAGTGCTTCCCATTCATTGAGTGCTGATGCTGTAGAAAAAGAAATTGAGGATTTGGTGTCCTCAATTTCTTTTCTATTTTACAAGGGAAATGTCAGGGGTCTGTCTGGACCCCTAATATTTCCCTGAAGCCCCCCAACAGTAAAAAATAAATAGATAATAAAAAAATTAAAAAATATGAAAAAAATTAGACAAAATATAAAAAATTATTTGTAAAAAGTGAAAACTGCCCCCCCCCCCCAAGTGGAAAAAAAAAAAAGGAAAAAAAAATTAAAGCCCCCCCAAAATTTTTTTTACGTTACACAAAAAAGAATTACATTTTTTTTTTTTTAAAGTCCCAACCCATACATACACGCATGCAAACATGCGTCGGGGGCGCATACGTGCAAAAAAGACGATTGCGCCCATTACGCCGCACATGTTACATATCGCCGCAAACGTCGGAGTGAGAGCAATAAGTCTAGGGCCATCAGTCACTGATAACACTAAACTGATGAGCGGTAAAAGCTTTTAAAGTGTCGCCTATGGCCAATTTTGGGTATGGTAGTTTTCTGCGATGTCGCGGGTGCGCGCAATTTTAAAGCTTGACATGTTTGGTGTCTATTTACCCGACGTGACCCGATCTTTTATATTTTACCAAAAAACTGGGTAATAATAAATGTTTCCTGACATAATGTAATTATGTAATTATAGTAAAAAATAAAACCCGCAGTGGTGATTAAATACCACCAAAAGAAAGCTCTATCTGTCCCCAAAAAATTGTATAAAATTAATTTCAGTACAGCGTTGCATGACGGAATAAACGTCAGTCAAAGTACCGCAGCGCTGAATACTGAAAAATGGCCTGGCCAGGAAGGGGGTCTAAACACCTGGTCTTGAAGTGGTTAAACAAAACATAAAACTGAATTCAATCAGGTTTGTACACAAAAGTAATAGTAGTGACTTCTAAGATAAACATGATATTGATTATACTATTCGTTAAATAAGCAGTAAACATAAAAAAGTACACTCCAAAGCATTTTGTAATGTAAAAGAGCTAACATTTGTATTATATACAGTATAATCAATAGTAAATGAGATATTTGACATTGTGTGTAATGTTGTTGAGTGCTAGCATCAACTGCTATCTAAGGTGCCTAATTTTCTATGGGATTATTTGACAGGTAGTCAGCTGTTTGTTGGAAAACAATTCCACTATACTTATTATGTCAGCCTCATTTTAAATATCTCATGTGCTGACCTTCCACATATGCATATTGCTGACCTTTCCAAATATGCACAGCCATGTATAAAGGTTGGGATCACATTGTTACAGTAGGCTATATAGGCAAGGAAGGCAGAGAGATTACCGTGAAGGTGTTGGGTTCCTCATTCTCTTGTTGTAAACTGGGAACCAGTAGGACACAGATTACCAGGTAGCAGGATAACCGCATCTATGGAAAATGGTGGGAAAGAAAGCATTTACTGAATGTTTTTTAGCACCACACATAGTTAATTTCATATTGTCCTAAAGATTTGTTGAAGTTGTGAAATAGTAACAATTAGTGTGTGTTTTTTCTTTCAGAAATAACAGATCAAAAGATTTGTTTGTTGTTTTAGACGTAAGATCATCATCTCCTGACCCTGCAGAGCCTCTTCTACCCTCGGCAGAAACCACTAGTTTATACACCAGAAAGAAAATTTGGTTGGATTTCTCCACACGATAGTTATTGTTACACCAGCTTAAGCCTGATGATGGATGTATATGGCATACGTAGAGGCAGATGAGGAGGGAAGGTGGCATTTGCCCTCTGTGCCAGCACTAATAAGATATGCAGAGCTGGTGGCCCTGAATGGAGATACTTGACCATTCAGACATCAGTCAGAGCTGTACCTGCAGTTAGTGGCACGTGGTTAGCATTACTATAGCTATCTGCCCCTGTTCAGATAATAGGTCACAGCATCTGGCCGGGCAAATCATCCAGCACCGACTCTGAGTTGTCATGTGACCAAATGCAGAGAACCACAAAGCATGAAAGGAAACGGATGATAGAAGATGTGAAATAGTGTGTCATGTTCTTTAGGGACACCCATCTTTCACAATGCCTACTAATAAACAAGGCACCATGGTACACTTTACGTGGTACACTTTCTTTACCCACAGAAATCTGTCCTTACCATGAAAAGGCTAGTTGTTTGTGTTTGTCTTAAAGGCTAAAAGTTCCCAGACTCCCCCTCACACACTTGTAACTGTTAAGCAGCTACACAAACAACAACATTTTCTTAGATCTGACAAGGCATCCTTGAACTGTACCATCTTGTGCTCTAATATCACACCCATCACTAGTAAACATTACAGACTGTATGACCAACCAAAGGCTGTCCTTTGTCTGCTAACCCAATACAATTACTGTAAGTGATGCTCCATCTGTGAGGAAACAGATTCACATAATGAAGATTTGACAAGTGTTATGATCATTTGTTTATTTACAGCTAATAAAATATGTGATTTTTCCAAGGTTTCAAACAGCCAATCAAAGCTGCAATAATACTATGTGTGGACAAACAAGAGTTTCAATCTGCCAACAATAGAGTTGATCATAGACATTAGAGAACAGTTGTACATTAATGATCTTGGCCAGTTTCTACCTAAACAGGAATACACTAGTCACACAAGCCCTCCTGTTTAAGCCAATGGAGGAGTAGGGGGAGCTGTCGCACAGTTTTGGTGTCAGGGAAAACAGTAACAATAAGGAAAGAATTCTAACCTGCCACATTGTTTTGTTCCTCAAGAACGCTTGATTTGAGGCTGGCTTTCAGTGCCCTATAGATATTGGATCATGGTTTAATCTGACACCAGACGGTCATATCAGTCATGCAGTATCTATGAGGACCTTTAATTTACTCCGATTTAGAGAATCTCATTATCTGCTTATCTGGTCTAGATTTGTTGCTGTGGATTACTGCACATCTCAACGGCATTTTACACATTGACAATTAAATCTCTCAAATAGATTGCTTCCAATAGTAAGCCATGTTTTCCTGTGCATTTTTTTTGGTGAGAGATTTGACAAAAAGAACTTCAGAAAAAATAAAAAGTTATCCTTTATTACTTTGCTGACATTGCACCTCATGATGTTTGATTAGTATATGGTGATACATTTTTTACCCTAGGCTAGAAATCACAGAGACACTATACTACACATCACAGTTGTGTTAAAGCTGCCATGATAGTTGTAATATGAAGACTAGTTGTACACTCATTCATAAAGTGGATTACAGAGAATCGCGCTATTCCATGATGGACAGAAATTATATTTCAGATTACTCACAGTTCTTGTTTGTCCGTCAGCTGATTATTTTTCTGTTCGCAGTTGTCCTTCAAGTTGCTCCAATTCCTCCTAAATTTTCTCCCTCTACCCTGTCTAATCGCACTCTCCCCACTTCTTCTATGTTCTCTCCTGTTTGAAATGTCTCCCTTGTTCACTTCCTTTTCATATGGCTTTCCCCTCCTTCTCCTGCACTGTGCCAGGGACAGTTTCTTTCTCCTTGTCCCGCTTTTCCAGTCTCATACACTTTCTGTCCTCTCTGATCCTTGAACCACGTCCCACTTGCTCTTTCAGTGTCTCTACTCTCCCTACTTCTATCTCTCTCTGTCTCTCCTTTCTCCAAATTCCTGACTTTCTGCCAATCCCTCCCTACTTTCCAGTAAAATTCCCCCCCACACCTGGTTTTACTTAAACACAGACACACAGCTCTTTCATGTCCAGCTGTTCACCCCCATCTGGGTCCCCACCCCTTACACACCCCTAGAGACCTGTGTCACAGCTCCTTCCCCTAGAGATCCCTAGGACTTTTAATATTATGAGACTGTACCTTTTAAAGACCCCCTTGCAAGCAAGAGCCTCTTGTACTCTTAGAGATCTGCGCTCCTCCCCCTTAAAGCATATTACCAGAACCACATTATTACACAGCTACAGTAAACAATCACAGCCACCACACACCTTTCAACTAACCACACAAGTAAATGTACTTTTTAACTGTAAGGGCCCTCAAGCCCCTAAAGCTTTACAAACAATGCTGATTGCAGTACAAAAGATACCCAGGCTGCCTATCGTTACCCATCATGTTACATTCTCCAATATAGTCCTCTAATATACTTCTAGTCCCCTTATCACAGATCAGTAAACCCAAAACACAAGGGGCCTGATGTACTAATGTTTGCCAGGGATTGCATAATATTAATAAAAAACTAATTGCACTGAATATTTTTTTCCCCCACGATTTTAATTTTTGCACACATTTTCTGCCTGCCAATTTTAGCAATTAAATCATGCTATGAAATCTTTATCTGTAAAAAAAAAAAAGCAATATACATAAGATTTGTTACACATTATTGAGGGAGGCAGCATTTCCTAGTAGGAAGTGTTTTTGGTACAGTCTCTTGAGTGAAGCTATTACACTTAAAGTGACATTAAACCCTCAGATTTTTTAACATAAACCAATACTGTAATGTGTGCCTTACTGTAATCCATGGGTGTTTCCCTTCTCTTTGCTGCTCTTCCTTTTAAATCCGTATCTCTTCTCATGCTGGGCATAACTTCTGTTTTGTCTTGTCTCTGGAATGGATACATGGTGTCTGTGTGCAGGTTCGCAACCTGAGCCAGCACTACAGGAAGAGGCACTCAGCTGCAAAGGGAAGTTCTCCCCAAGCATGAGAAGACATGAGGATTTAAAAGGAAGAGCAGCAAAGAGAAGGGAAACAACCATGGATTACAGTAAGGCACACATTACAGTATTGGTTTATGTTAAAAAATCTGAGGGTTTAAGGTCACTTTAATGTCAAACCTTTTCTGAATGTGAATTAGCCAAGTACTGCATGCCATAAGCATTCTAAAATGTGATGTCCCTCACCGCAAAAATATATGCATAAAAACATCAAAAGATGTTTGACAGTAAAAACGTAAGGTAAACAAAATTGCTAAGAGGTAATTTTGACAGAAGAGTCTGCTCCTAGCAACTTTTGTTGTGTACCTTGCCTGCGGCACATGGAGTCATGACATTGTAGTTCCAGTGTGTATGGACAAGAGTTACACAATCAGTGGTCTTCCAACAGCTGAGTATCAGACCCTGAAAAAGAAGTGGCAGAGAAAATGACAGCTGTGATGACGGTGAGCATGAATCTTCCAGCACTGGAGGACAGCAAACCAGGTAGGTCTGCTATCATGTGGTAACATACTTGCACATTATAGAGATAGCACACCCACTCCAGCAGGAGGTTAAGTTCCACTTTAATGCACCAAGCCCAGATCTGATCATGTAAAGGAGCTAGTAATAAAATTCACAGACAAATATATGTATGTTTCAGGAGCTTCCTGTTTAGTAACCACAGTGGCACTACAATTAACTGATACGGCAATTAAACATTCTACAGCCTCAAATGGCAGCTAAGATAAAACTATACACTGCACTCTGCTTTATAGAAAAAATTAACCTATGAATAGACGTTAGATGGTTTTAGGAAGTATAGGCTCAATTTGTCCATCAAACGAGCATTTATTGCATCAAGTATTCAGAAAGTGCAGAGAAAAAGCACTACTCCTCCTCTATGATTAAGCCAGTGGGTGAAATGCATTAGTGGGGGGAAGACTTCAAATATTATTATTATTATTATTATACAGGATTTATATAGCGCCAAAAGTTTGCACAGCGCTTTACAATATAAGGAAGACATTACAGTCACAATACAATTCAAGACAAGATGGTGCCCTGCACCTGATTTATTACAATCTAAAATATGTTATACAATCTTCATTAAACTGATTTAGCATTACACAGTGTGCTGCCAGATCTTTTGCTTCCTTGAACTATTGCAGCAAGTAGTTGCAAAACATTTTAAAAAGTGTTTAGCTTTTTTTTTTTTTATTCTTTATTTTGTAAAACAGTGTTATCCATACAAAAATTAAGCATATCGGCAGAAAATATAATACAATCAAGGCTAACAAGTGCCAATGTTAATAAGAGACATGAACTCGATCACATGGATCCTGTAACTTTTTGAATGACAGTACAACATTAATCAGCAAACATAAAAGGAAATTCGGACGGACAGTAGGAGTACCACGTTACGTGTGCGATCCTACTACCTCACCCTACTGCCCCTAGAATTATGTGCATCATAACATAGATATGAATTACATTTTAGTTATTCGTTCAGTCTGAGGTAATGTCGTTATATCGGTGTATTAGCTCCTTATCTCGTGGAAGTTTAAGTGTTAGGCATTCCATATACCGCATATGATTTCGATCGGTATCATTACACAGATCGCATATTAACTAACATCTTATCATATATAGGTAACAGTCTATATCCAGTCCTGGAACACCCAATTTAACTACTTCGATGTTGTATCCTGTTTGCTCAAGACTTATATAGTTCAAGAGATGGAGTATTAGGGTTGTGCAGCGAAGAAGACAGACATGGGGAACAAGAAAGAAAGAAGAAAGAAAAAGGTAAGTAGACTCTCTCATGGGGTTACCCGTAAAGGCTCCATCAAGAGACCTGAGGGTCTGCGGGTGGTTCTGAGGTGACGTATGTTTGATATTCCGGAGAAAGCAGGAACTCCGTCCAGTAAAACCATATTTTGTTAAAGGCGGTTAGCATTTCTGAAGACGATACTGTCAGGTCCTCCAGTCGCCAGATCTCACCAACCTTGCCCAGCCACATTCCTACCGTAGGGGGTCGCGGGTCCCGCCAGCGTATTGGAATGCATGTTTTTGCTGCATTGAGCAGATGCGGTAATACTGATCTCATGTACCACTTTCTCGGGATAGTATTGTGGTGCAGGAGGAAGAAGGCTGGTGTGTGTGGAATGTCTCGGTCGGTAAACTTGGCTAGTAGTAGCTTGATCACTCTCCAGTATTCCTGAAGAGCCGGGCAAGTCCAGAAAATATGTAGCATGGTGCCCCCGGCTTGGCCGCAGCGCCAGCATGCCGAGGACACCTCGGGGAAGATCCTATGTAGGGCCGCAGGAGTTCTATACCAACGCGTAAGAATTTTATAGTTACATTCCTGGATCTTAGTACATCTAGATGTTTTGTGTGCGAAGTGGGACATGTTTTCTAGTTGGTCCTGTGTGAACTGGAGCCCCAGTTCATTTTCCCACCCAATTACATGTGGGGGGTTAGCACCTTCCTGGTGGGAGTCTAACAAGGAGTAGACCAAGGACACACCATGACGCAGTGGCGTGTCCTGTGAACACTCCTGCTCGAATTCAGTCATTTTTTAACATAAACTTCCTTGCTAGCGCCAAGGATCTGAGGAAGTGGATTAGCTGAATCTTTTCCCAGTACTTCAGTGGAAGCCACTGAGGTTCACGGGACATTTCCTCCAGGGACACCCATCTATCATTCCGAGTAAAGTGCTGTGCCCTATGTATGCCTGTCTCAGTTAATGTATTGAATCCTGGGTTTTCCAATCCCGGAGCAAAGCTAGGATTCCCTAAGATCGGAAACATTAGAGAGGGAGCTGGTGATACATTTCCCGACACACTGTCCATGTCGGTCCAATTGTGGGATGGGATTTCACTGGTATCGGGACTCCACTCTCACACCACAGAAGGGCCGATAACGGGAACCCCACCTCCGACCCCTCTAGTCCTATCCATTGTTTAATCGAGCCATGGCGGCACCAGTCGAGTACCCTCGCGAGGTGGCAAGCCGCATGATATCTACTCACATCGGGCATGCCAATACCTCCCCGGAGTTTATGCCTACGCAGAATTGCCGATTTAATCCTCGGAGGTTTGTGGGCCCACAAGAAGTGGGTAAATGCACTGTTAACGGCTTTAAGAAATACCTGTGGGATATGGATCGGCAGAGTCTGCAGTGGATACAAAATGCGCGGCATGACATTCATTTTCAAGATATTGCATCTACCAAACCATGAGAATTTACCAGCATGCCACCTCGCGAGGTCCGACCGAATCTCCTTGAGTTGAGGAGGGAAATTAAGGTGGAAGGTCCGGGAGAGGTTCGCAGGTATAATGGTGCCTAAATACCCTAGTGATTCCATGTCCCAGCAGAATGGAAATGCCGACCGCAGGCCCAGGAGTAGGAAACCCGGTACAGACACATTAAGAGCCGTGGATTTCTGGAAATTAATGAGGAAATTGGAAACTGCTCCATAGAGTTCAAATTCCCTCATCAGGTTTGGTAGGGAAACAGTCGGGTTATTGAGGAGAAAAAGTAAGTCATCAGCGAAAGCTGCTACTTTGTGGTTACCCCCAATACCTAGGTCAACCCCTGCAATATTACGGTTGGCCCTGACTCTACGGAGAAAGGGCTCTAAGGTGAGGATGAAAATCAAGGGCTACAGTGGGCAACCTTGTCGCGTGCCATTGGAAATGTCAAAGACGACTGATAAAAGTCCATTAACCCGGACCTGCGCCGTAAGTCTAGAGTAGATCGCCATCAACCATGACATCATCATTCCACCCAGACCCAGGCCCCCCGGAGTGTCAATTCCATAAAAGCCCAGTCAACCCGGTCGAAGGCCTTCTCCGCATCCGTAGACAGAAGCATTAAAGGCCTCGACCGGGTGGAGGACGCATGCATGACATTTATCACTCGTATAACATTGTCTCTAGCCTCTCTAGATGGCATAAATCCCACCTGGTCTAGAGTAGATGGATGATTTCTTGTAGGTGCAGGATCAATCGGGAAGTCAACATTTTTGTAAAGAGTTTGAGAT